CCTATTCTCTGCCAACTGAATTATGGAGTTGTTCTCGGTCCAACATTTCTTCCCTTACTGTAATTTTACAGATAATGCACAGTCTGCTTAGCTTTCTTTTGGTTGCCATCTGCGTGGTGACGGTAGCTGGACAATTTTACGGTAGGTAACGCACATTTCTTCGCCATTCTTCGTGTTTCTCACAAATCAGATTTCGTTTTAGGTGGACGTGGTCCCTATGGTGGTGGATTCGGACGGAGCCCCTACGGTGGCGGATTTAACCGCGGCTATGGTGGAGGATTCAACCGTGGCCCCTATGGTGGCAGTCCATACGGTATGCAAGGTGGTTTTGGAAGAATGAATCCAGTGCAAGGAGCAATGATGGGTGCTATGATGGGCGCGATGAGAGGATAAAAATGATCTTGATCTCTTACATGTACATAGCTTCAACATGACAAAAAGAATAAATTTCTTTGAGAAAAAAAAACAGAAAATTCACATACAAAATTGCAGACATCTCAAAATTTCTCAAGGTTGAGTCCATGGAAGCCAGAGTGTGGTGTGAGAGTGTATTTAAAGGCAATGAGGGCGATAGCTGGGAAGCGACGCTACTTTGGGTAGCGGTCCGATCACACTTCGCTTTGTGGTAGCGTCAGACTGCCTTCAAACACCTTCCAACCAATGGCGCCGCCCAACCAGTTATGGCCCTCACTGCCTTCGAGAGAAGCTGACGAATAAATGGAAAAGTCGACAAAAAGCGGTGATCTAAGAAATGCGCAACTACGGAGAAGAAGAGCCGATTATTTGCGCTTATTGAAGCTCTCCTGAAAGGCGATCACATCAAAAATCGCCTGTCACGACGATTCCCTGCACAAGTGAGTATCCACTCTTACAACGACCAAAACTTTTCAGAAGTGTTTTTGAGAATTATTCTGTTTTTCTTCATATCTCATAATTCAGTTCCAGGTGGTGGATTTGGCCGCGGCCCGTACGGCGGTGGATTCGGCCGTGGCCCCTACGGCGGCGGATTTGGCCGTGGCCCCTACGGCGGTGGATATGGCCCCGGCGGATTTGGCCGTGGTCCCTATGGCGGAGGATTCGGACGTGGCCCCTTCGGAGGCGGATTTGGTCGCAGCCCTTACAGCGCTGCATTTGGACCCTTCAGTGGTGGATTTGGCCGTGGCCTTTTTGGATAAGCGAATTAAATCAATAGTCCTTCGAATGTATCATATAATTGTAATAAATTATACGCCTTCAAAATAACAAATAAATTTCTGGAAGAAAGAGCAGGAGAAATAAGTTCTAAACTGTTTTTTTTTCACGAGCAATTGAAAGTCGACCAAGTCGGTTGACGACAGGTGAAATCTCTTTATCACGTGGTATATGTAGGTTGAGTCACGAGTAAGCGCCGATTTCTTTGTACCTACGCCATCATTCCCTGAAATTGTATTTGGTCTCCGCAGAGCGGTATCAGGCCAAACCGGACCCTAGTCCATTCAGCTGCGCTGCATCGTTATGCAAAAATCGACGTGTCCCCCATTTTCGCCATGGCTTCCTGCATGCATGGTGCGCTTCCACTTTTCCTTCAAAAAATGAATTTTTGAATTCTTCCACACCCCACATATTGTTCTTTCTTAAAGCAACAGTTCAGGGAGGGTCCGAAAATTTCAATGCCACTACTACTGAGGGATACACGAGCCCTAGTGAAGAACATATGCAGTGGAAATAATAAACGAACTTACCTCAGAAACTCAAAAACAGGGTGGAAAGTCCCTCAAACATGGGTGTTCTTGGGGATTTCCCCAATCCCGCCCCCTTGCCGGCCGTCATTGGACGCGTCGGCAATCGTGCTCGTTTTGGGACCACAGGGAAAATTGATTGAAAAATGGAGCGCGTTTACAGGGCACGTTCAGACAACTCGTCCAACGTGCGTCTTTATCCATTGCTGAGCGGCAGAGGGAGAGTACCTGTCTAAGACCCTCCCCGACGTTTTTTTCCAGTTTTTCATACATTAATCGTCTGGTTTTCATCTACAACTTCATTATTGGTGGTTTTTTCCCGCGAAACCGTTCCTGAACTGTTGCTTTAAGTTTCGAAGGCAGATTCGATACAGGACAGAGCGGGTTTAGGCAGAAGTGTGTATTTCTTTCGTGGCGGTATGTGGGGACCTTACAAGGGAGTATTTTCAGGATAAACCACGCTGTTTTTGAAACGAATTTTTGCATATTGTAGGGACGCATGTAGGTGGTGGTGTCCGCTCCTCCAAGTGGTGCCACTGGGAACTGCTCACTTTTGTGGGCTGAGCTGATCGCGGACATTCGAATGCAGGCGACACAGGCCCCGTGACAGGCCGGCCTACGAATATCCACGTCACATCTTCATGGTTAATGACGTCATATGATTTCCGAGATAATGCTACGGCGTCCGCGGGAGCCGACGCGCACTCGCAAAGCCCGGCGAGTGTGAAAAGTATGCGAGGGTCTCCGACGCAAGGACGGCGTCGGGGGCAACTAAGCTAGTCCACAAGTCCTGCAACGCACGGAAGATTCGCGTTGCGACGTTAAATCTTGGCACGTTGACGGGCCGCTCGTACGAGTTAGCAGAAGCTCTAGAGCGCCGACGGATTGATTTCTGTGCCGTGCAGGAAACGAAGTGGTCCTGCTGCAGATCGAGAGATGTTGGACGAGTCTTTAAAGCAGTTCTTTCGACCAGAGGGGTCGGAGTAGTTGTTTCTGACCGCTTCCGTGACTCGATCGTAAGCGTTGATCGTTATGACGACCGTCTAATGAAGATTGTTGTCGTCATCGAACGTAAGCGATACCACTTCTTTTCTGCATATGCTCCGCAGACTGGCTGCTCTGAGCGAGCCAAGGATGAGTTCTGGACCCTCCTGGATGAAAAGACCGCAGATGTACCGTCAGAAGAGGCTGTAATTGTCGCAGGTGATCTTAACGGTCACGTCGGCACTGCGAAACGGGAACAACTGCTCCCAATGGTATCAGTCGACAAGCAAGCGTGGCTATGGACGGACGATGTTTAAGAAGAAAGTACGTGAGAAGAAGAGGCTATACCACGTATTTCTTGGCGATAAGACTGTCGACAACTGGCGGAGTTATCAGGCAGCTAAGAATGCGACAAAGAAGGCCGTTGCTGCCGCAAAAGCTGCCCACTTTGCGATGTTAGCGAGAAGCTCGAGACGCGCGATGGTGAACGCTATGTTTATCGTCTTGCCAAAGCCCGCCATCGCCAGTCCGAGGACATCGAGAAGTTTTTCGGCATCAACGACGAAAATGGTAACCTCCTGACGGACCGCAAAAAAAGCAGTGAAGCGATGGCATGATTACTTCGAGAACATCTCAGCTGTAGAATTTGCCCATCCAGCAGTCCCTTATGTCCGCCAGTGCAAGGTCCTGTGCAGAGAATAACCGTGGAGGAAACGGAAAGGGCTCTGAAGAAGATGAAGTCGGGAAAAGGCTACAGGTCCCGATGATTTGGCGGCCGACATATGGAAGTCAAAATGCTGGTGTCCTGCTGAATGGTTGACCAAGTTTTTCAACCAGATCGTAGCAGAGAGAAAGGTGCCTGAGAGTTGGCAGCAGAGCACAACGATTCCGATTTGGAAGAAGAAAGGCAGCCCTGCTGACTGTACGAGCTACCGTCCAATCCGCCTGCTCTCGCACAGCATGAAGATCTTTGAGCGAATTTGTGGACGGCCGTATTCGTGACATCGTGCAGCTTTCCATCAACCAGTGTGGATTTGTGTCAGGCTGCGGCACCATCGATGCAATACATGCCGCCCGCCTTCTGTTGGAAAGACATCGCGAGAACTGGACCTGGAGAAGGCTTTTGATCGCGTTCCTCGAGAAGTCATATGGTATGCTTTACGACAGCACGACGTTCCTGAAGAGCTCATTGAGTGGGTGCGCATACTTTACTCGAACTCAAGGAGTCGGGTGCAAACGGTGGCAGGTACTTCGATGGAATTCCCCATCTCGGTCGGTGTGCACCAAGGGCTCCGCGCTTTCCCCACTCCTATTCATTGTCGTTATGGATGCCATTTCGCGTGATCTTCAGAAGCCCGCTCCATGGACGCTTCTTTATGCTGATGACGTGATGCTCGCATGTGATGACAAACATCTGCTCGAGCAACAGGTGCAAACCTGGTCCGACCGTCTGGCTATGTTTGGGCTCAGGTTGAATGTGAAGAAGACAGAGTACTTGACCACCGATTTGAGTGAGTCAGGCACAATTAAGATCAGTGGCACTGAGCTCACACGTACAACATCGTTCAAGTATCTTGGGTCGGCAATCGCGTCCGACCGGCAGCCTCTGAAGTAAACTCCCGGGTGAGTGCAGCTTGGTCCAAGTGGCGCTCGATGACCGGCGTTCTCTGCGATAAGAAAATACCAGAGCGACTGAAATCTAAGATCTACAGAACCGTCGTCCGACCAGTCGCCATTTACGGAGCAGAGTGCTGGCCCGTGACTAAAGAGGTTGAGGCTCGTCTCAGTGTAATGGAGACAAAAATGCTGCGCTGGACTGCCGGGGTTACCCGTTTAGACCACATTCGCAACGATACCATCAGAAAGCGGTTCGGTGTGGCTCCCATCGCTGATAAGATAATGATGAAGAGAGTGTCCGTAAGATCAAGCGGCCAAGAGGACGCCTGAAGCAACGATAGCTTGATATGTTGCATGAGTATTTGAAATTATTTGGTCTTCACCCCGATCAAGGCACATAATCGGGAAAAGTGGCGTCGTAATACCAGGAAAGACCCCGCCACAGGGTGGGACAAACGCTAAAGAATAAGAAGAAGAAGTAGGGACGCATGTAGGAACATAAAACCATGTTTCATTTTCGCTGAACGGTTCTAGCAGTACCAAAAAAGAAGCATAAGGTACTGTTAATGGTTCGATCCCCGTGGCGACTAAATTTTGCATTTGGGTTGGCGCCTACGTTTGGTGCCAAATCGCGCTAAATGTCAAAATCAGATGTCATATTCATCCATTTTGAAATCAACAAGTGCATCCAATCCTGATGGCAAAATTTACTCGCCGCGGGGGACAAAGTTTGCAGCTTACAAGGTGAAGCTGATGGCCTAGTTGACAAATGTTGACATATGACACATCCTCGAGCTCGTCGTGGAGAGACCTACCCCAATGTGTTTGAATCTTCTCGTTTCCTACACTTTCAACGGAGTTATTCCGCTGCGACGGTGTCGGTGTTTGATTTACTAACACTCTATCACTCGGCGTCGATTTTTCACATTCTGTGAGCGGCATTGTACAACATTTCATGAGCGCTAACCCCAAAAAATGTCCAGTTCTCTTTACATCCTGATGCTACGGAATAGTTTTTATAAGGCATGTCGTTCCCGTGCCTCTCAGAGCAGTGGAAGCTCACTACACTCAACAAATTGTTCCTCGCAGACAAGGCAAACAACACGCAGAGGATCGCTAATGTCGCGATCGTTAACACATTGACGACAATGCGAGTTTTGGCTTTTTTGGCCACGTGGGACCGCGGGCGCGCTCGCCTCAGGTCGTTCAAGCAGATTTTGAGTGATAAATACACAACTAATGATCAATTCAAAACCAGATCAGTAAATTGTAATGAGCGCAACCTACCAGGGGTACAGTAGTGGAATTTCGATCGAAAGACATGGAATAACAATGAAAAAGCGAAATTGGTCAGAACTAGCTGCAATGGACCTCAAAAGCAATTTTACGTTGATTATTCCAATCAAAACACACATATTGTCATCCCTAAGGTTCCTTATCTACTTCTACTACTATTTAAATCTTCACATTCATAAAAAGAAAAAGTAAACGAAAAATTTATTGAAATGAAGATTTCGTATGGTTCAGAAATCCTCCTCTAAATTAAAGCATACGTGACCATTCTAAGGGCCACTATGTTTGTAGCTACGTCAAGGTCTCTTCCATGGAATAAATACAAGAAACTTCTAAAAGAATCAGGCGTGCGCGAAAAAAATGAGTGTAATGGGTGCGGGGGATATATATCCCGCACGGTCCGACATGGCCTGCAATGCGCGGGATATACATACAGGGGTGGCCAAAAAAAAGAGACACTTCACTCCACATCCCGGGCAGCATTAGTCTGTCATGTATGTCTACATGTAATATTCTTTGTTTACTAATCTCTTTGTTTACATGTATGTTTATTTGCTTATCGCTTCTCATTCCACTCCGGTACCCTTGCATCTTATTTTGCCTGGTAATCGTACCTCATATGTTTTCCATGTTGTCCACATTTCATAAAGAAGATTGGATATCAAAGTTGTAGTTATGCGCAATTGGTATTTCAATCAATATCTGGTGGACTGTCAGGCGTCAGCAACGCCACTATTGATCGGGTCGGGTGCCTCGGAAGAGCCGCGAGCGTGGGAAAGGCCGCTCCGGGCCAATCACAGGCTATCGCGCCCGATGGGCGGGGCGAGGGGGTATATAAACGTGAGGAAGCGCAGTCGGAGCGTTCATTTACCGAGTGTCTTGGAACGGAGCGGTTGGCTCCCTTGGGTTCCACAGTCTAGAAGACTGAGACAGAGGGTTCAGAAGTAGATTCCCTGGCCCTGGGCATACGAGCGGTTCGCTCACTATCGATTCAACTCAAGGTACTGTCGTAGTACGACCAAGGCATCCCTCTCCCCTCTCATCGGGGGTATTCTCGTGATATCGATTGGGTTCAATCGCCGCGTCTCCGACGAGCACCCCGACCCTTCGATCGATCCTGTCGATACGCACAGTCGTTATCGTACCTATCCTTAATCGTAGGCTTACTCAAGAAATGCTAGTAAATCCAAGTTGCTCAGTCGTATCTGTGTAATCTCGCGGTGCGCAGCCGATGCCATAACTGTCTGTGATCGCAGCAATAATGATTCTTGTAATTGACCATTCGAAAGCCATAAAACATAGTCAGCCGCCCCATAGGCCGCGCCCGCACAGAGCGCTCAAAGATGCCGATCACAGTCGGATGCCCAGAAGACTCCGTCTCACCCGCTATTTTCTCTACTCTTGCGGTCAGAAAACGCGCCCAATCGCTGACATGCCGGCGCAAGCCACTCTGCAAACCATCAATATTCGAGCGATATGGCTCGAGCGCATCAAGTGGTGCCCGCATCGGATACGCTGCACGAGGCGAATGCCCTGCCGATGCAGAGGTTTAACCCTGAACAAGCATTAATTACCTTGAGTCCCTTTCCCAAATTGTCTATCAGGAGCTTCCGCGCTAACACTGAGAACATTGCCCGAACAGTAAAGGCAAAACATATGACTGGCGTTCGCAGCCTGCGGCACCCGCACGGCTATTCGGGCGGCGTGGCCGTCAACGTCGACGAAATGCATAGTGTGGCGGTGCATGCACTGGCAGGAGAGCTATGGTATCCCCTACCCGCTCAGAACGTCGATTTGCCGTTTCTTAGCAAGGGCGACAGCAGGCAATGAGCTCGCGTAGACGTAGTAACTGCGAAACGATTGTTCTAGCGCATATGCTTCTACCACTAAATGCAGCTACGGATAAAGAGCCGCCCATGGCGTCCAGCCGTAAAGAGAATCAATGGCTCCGATCTCAACTGCTTTCATTGCAGGAAAATCAAGCCGTCGCACCGTCACCGAAGAGCAGAGAAGCCTTTGCTGATAAAGGTAAACCTTTCGCAGAAGACGTTTCACAGTTGCGGATTGCAACTCCATGCGGATCATGTGCCTCGTTTCAGACTCGCAGCGTAGCCAGTCCGAAAGATGGGCATATTCTGAGCCCCCCACGGACATCGAGCGAGAGATCCATCAGATCTTGTCAATCACGTTGCCGTTGCCGACAAGGTGAGTTGTCGAGCAGTTCAGTAAGCAGTAGCCAACTAGAAAGGTGCAGACAAAAGTCGCCACAAGCTGCGTGTTCCACCGAATCGCTGTTGTCAGCATTCAAAGAGGCTTTTAAAGCTCAATCTCTCAAAGCAGTCAGCAACTACGATGGAAAAGGATCTCTTACGGACTTTGTAAGAGCATTAGATGTGAAGTACCCTCCAACTGTATGGAGTGATGACGATAGAAGGGACATCCTTCTCGATCACCTGGTAGGATCCGCAAAGGCACATGTCAAGAACTTGCCGGAAGAGGGCCGCATACTGTCGTTCAACGAAGTCGTTGAAGAATTGCGGAAGGCAAGGGACACACCATGTGAACGGCTCAAGGCGGAGTCCGAATGGAAAAGTCTAAGAAAGCGCGACGGAGAATCAGTCTTCGACTTCTGCTGCAGACTGCAAAGCATCGCCAACCGAATGGCGCCAAAGCAATGTCTAGACTTCCAGATGGGAAGCAAACTATACGAGTGCCTAGCGCATTGGTCGGACTCGTACCATATGCTAGCAGCTCTGGACGCGCCAGAAGGACGCATATTTGAAGAAGTTCGTAAAGTCGCACTCAGGCTGGAGCGGACACGTAAGCCCGTTCAGCTCGAGCGCAGGAAACAATGGAGCGGGCACCGAGAAAAAGGTGAAGATATGCCTGCAGCAGGCCAGTCCCACCGAGAGTGCCCACAGCAGAATGAAAGCTCGGCATTCAAAAGTAGGAAGAATCCCACAAGGCCGAGCGTGCTGCCAACCAGTAGACCGGAACAACGCCCAAATCGTTCATCGTTCTCCACCAAGCTGAAGTCATGGTGTTACAAGATTGGGCAAAGACGGTCCACTGTGACCAAAGCCTATGGAGAGCCGTGCTACTGTAACATTGGAGTGTTCGGATTCGAGACCAGAGCACTAATTGACACAGGCTCTGTAGTATCCATAATACCAGTAGGCCTCCTCAAACTCGCTCAAGAGCGAGGAGTGGACATGGACCGAATGGTGACAATGTTGGGAGAACCCAACCAAAACCAGGTCCTTGACGCATCAGGAAACCCTATGAAGTTCCTTATGCGAATTGCTGTTGAAATTGAGGTCAAAGGAGCGAAAAGGGCCAAGGTGCAGTTGCATGTCCAACAATCCGACGACACCCTCATTCTCCTCGGAACCAACGCAATGAAAGCGTTAGGCATTGAGGTGAACTTGAAGCCAGAGACTGACCTCAATCATGAAACGCATTCTACGACTAAAAAGGATGCGGTAAAACCCATCAAAAATGAGGTGGCAAGAGCAAGAAAAAGAGTCGTGATACCACCAAACAGCTCAGCATTTGTAGAGCTGGAGGGGAAAGGCCGTGGACCAGAGCAGATTTTCTGGTCCAACAGCAGCAAAATAGCATCCGGAGTATGCCGCATATCCAAGGGATGCGGCACAATACCAGTTGTTAACAAAGATGTCGAAGCATGGGTGATCCCGAAAGGACATGTACTAGGAGAATGGTCCGACGACCCATGGTACGATCCAAGGATGGCAGATATACCCGGAGATATGCTGGAAATGCAGCGGGGTATAGAAATGCCATCAAGGGATAAAGCTGTCGAGGTAATCAAAATGCTCGAAGACAACAAGCGCACAGGTGAAATCCCCGAGGATTTCAAGAGCTTGATCCGCGAATACAGCGATGTGTTTGCTGTATCGGACTTCCAGCTAACTCAGACACACCTCATCGAGTATGACATCGACGTTCAAGGGCATCCTCCAGTGAAGCAAAGGACGCGCCCAGTCCCCTACGGAATAAGGACTCAAGTCAAGGAGATGCTTCAGGATTTGGAGCAACGAAACATAATCGAAGCCAGTTCATCACCGTGGGCTTCTCCAATCGTTCTAGTCGCTAAGAAAGATGGCACTATCAGATTGTGCGTTGATTACAGGGAGGTCAACAAACTGACCAAAAAGGATTCTTATCCACTCCCTGCCATTGATGTCACGCTGCAAAATCTGAAAGGGAAGAGATTTTTCACGTCCCTGGACCTTGCCAGCGGATACTGGCAGATTCCGTTAACCGATGCAGCGAAGCAGATCAGCGCATTTACAACTACAGCTGGATTGTATCAGTTCCGAGTACTCCCATTCGGCCTCACAACAGCACCCTCTGTTTTCCAGCGGCTGATGGAAAAGGTTCTAGGAACGTTATTGGGAACGGAAGTTTCCGTCTACATAGACGACATCTTGATTGCGACTGATTCGATAGAGCGACACCGTGAAATTCTGACACGGGTATTCCAAGCGTTCAGAGAGGCTAATCTGAAGATCAAGCCGCAGAAGTGTCGCTTGCTGGAAACACAAGTCGCTTTTCTAGGACATATTATTGATGTGGAAGGCATAAAAACGGATCCGGATAAAGTTTCCAAGATAATGAACTTTCCGCGACCGTCCAATATCGCAGAACTACGAACCTTCCTTGGTATGGCCGGTTACTATAGGAAGTTCGTGCTAAGATTCGCTCAGACAGCTCGACCGCTGTACGCCTTAACCAGCCCCAAAGTGACATTTGAATGGGGACTAGAGCAGCAAACAGCTTTCGAGACACTGAAGGAGCTGCTCACAAAAGCGCCAGTGCTCTCGCAACCTGACATAGAAAAGGCGCGTGATGGATCAAGGCCATTCATCATATATACAGATGCCAGTCGAGTCGGCGTTGGGGCAGTACTAGCCCAAGAGCAGGATGATGGGTTTCTCCATCCAGTTTATTTCGCGTCAAAGCCACTCTCGAAAGCTGAGCGCAATTACCACGTAACCGACCAGGAAGGTCTAGCAGTAGTATACGCACTCAAGAAGTTCCACTACTTTATCTATGGAGTTCGCACCATAGTCAGGACGGACCATGCGTCATTAACGTCCTTGTTCAAGCGTACAAATGTATCTCCCCGAATCCTTCGTTGGGCGATGGAAGTGCAACGGTATGACCTCACTCTGGAGCACGTCAAAGGAGCGGCCAACCGAGTCGCTGACGCCCTCTCACGAGGAGTTGTCAACCAAAAACAGGAAGTGCCACCAACCCATGACGAAAACGAAAAAGTTGTATGCTCAGTCAGAACAATGAGTTGGTTGGACGAGCTACGACAGGACAAAGAGTGGATCCCGATAATCAAAGCCATCGAGCAAGATGTCGATATGGAAGTACGACTTCCCCGACACGAGAAAACAATAAGTTCGAAAGACTTTATGCTCACTCAGGACCAGCTGAGGCTCATATTAGAAGACGGATCCACCGTACTTGTAGTTCCAGAGAAGCGAAGGCAGGAAATATTTGATGCCAACCATAGTGGAACTCTTGGCGGACATTTCGGTGCAAAACGGATGTTCGCGCAATTAAAGAAATCAGTTTTCTGGCCAGGAATGAAACAGGATTTACAGAAGTGGTGTAAACAGTGTCAAAATTGCTTTCTGGCGAATCCAAAGCAAGTCAATACACCGCCACTAAAACCGAGACGTGCCCTACGACCATTCGAAGTTATCGGAGTAGACGTCTTAGAAATGGGGGTCACCACAAGAGGTAACCGGTATATTGTTACCATAGTGGACCATTTCTCCAAATATCTTGGAGCCTATCCTGTGCCAGATAAGAAAGCTGACACTATCGCAGAAGTAATTTTCAGCCAATGGATATGCATCGGAGGCCGCTGGCCAGAGAGCATCTTCTCCGATCGTGGCGGAGAGTTTGAAAATGCTGTCATCAAAGCACTCTGCGATGTTTTAAAGATCAAGCAGGACTTCACAAAAGGATATTGCCCACGCGAAAATGGATTGACCGAAAGGGCGAATGGGACCATCATACGTATGCTCAAGAAAAAGACTGTCGTACCCGCGGAATGGGATAGAATCCTACCGGCAGTAGTGTATGCATACAACGCATCCCCGCACTCGGCAACAGCCGAAAGCCCTCATTATCTAGTATACGGTCGTGATCCACAATATCCGTCCTCCACTATTCCGAGAGATCAGTTATCGTCGTACCACGTGAACTATGACGACTATAAGACTGAATTTTTGACCAGTTTAAAATTAGCTCATGAGTGCATAGCTGAACGTGCTGAGAGTTACCGCACCGCAATGAAAAACAGCTATGATAAGCGATGGAAAACGACGAAGTCGGACGTATTCCACACAGGCGACAGAGTCTACATGAAAGTACCGGCAGAAAAAGGGAAGTCACCTCATCCAAAGTTGACCTGTGATTGGAGAGGACCCTACCGGGTACTGGAGGCAAGCTGCAACTCAGCCCTTATCACACTAATCGGTGAAAACGAAGAGCCACTCAGAGTGCAATTCGATCACCTAATTAAAGTGCCACCCGAGATCGATGATACACCTGTAAGAGGAACTACCAAAAGAGGGCGTAGAGGGCGACCTCGAAAAAATAAGCCTGTGACGACCGCGTCTGCACCTCGCTTAAGAGCATTACAGAACACGCGAATCATTCGAAAATGTAACTATATCCATTTCAGTGATCGTCGTTCCGATGAAAACGATCCGGCAACGATTGACTTTCGTTGTCCTGGATACTACATGCATCACAATCAGCAACTGCCCTGTGCTATTCCGCGACCCTGGGCAACCGTCATTCCGAATGCGCCGATTCCGGACATGATTCACAAGGACGCCGTATGAACTGGGAAGAGCAATCACGATCGCCATGCAAACTCACATCCCAGACGCAGTGAAACGTGATCTTTTGATTGATGATTCGTATGTAACATTGTCTCCTACTGCGTTAGCCATTGCTTATGCATATTTTCGTGGCACTTGTATGCATATTAGTCAAGTTGTACGTTCATCGCAGACTGAGACAAACGTCGAGCATCCTCCCAGAGCCGGAGATGAGGCTTTCAATGTGGATCGCGTCGTAAAGAAAGCTCTGAAGAGTTCGATTCTTCTGAAACCTTGGATGGTAGAAAGATGGTCGCGAATTCGATGCAAGCGCACGCTTGTACTTTTGCCAGCCGGTTTCGAAAACCACACCGAAGGATTCTCCACGGATTGGCAAGTCGCCTATTCCTACAAGGAGCCAAGAGATCTCCTACGACGCTGGTTCAGTGACGAATTATCTGCTATCGTGCTGTTCGCACCAACCTACGATTCGTCCCTGCTCGACTGGACAACTCCTTGGATGGATATGATGAAATGTGTCACTGAAGGCACGGATCTCTTCTTACTCGCAGGCCCTCAGGACGACTATGAATGGGGAGCTGGCGTGGACCTCATGCGAGATCTGGCCGAAGAGACTGTACGCCAGAGGCCCGCATTAAGGCGCCGCATTTTCGATTTGTTACCACGCAAGTCGTCGGATGAAGGACGAGCGCCTCATCGCATACTCGGAGTACGACGTGGAATAGGAGTACCCTCCTACACGCCAGCGCAGGCCAAGCGCTTCTTGAACGAAACTGTGATCTGTTACGGTCTGCATCTTCGACTTCACCCTTATCGACGCACAAAGGAGGCCGACCGACGATTCCGCCAGATAGCCACGGAGGATCAGCGTGGCGAAAGTAGAGAGATCGAGCAGCATGAGGAGGCACCATCGGGTCACCACGCGCCGCATCGAGGACAGGAGCACCGTCGTCGCCGTAACAGGGAACGTGCAGCCGCAGGTGAGCAAAGTCGCAGCAGGAACCGGAACCACCAGCACTCTGGAAGCCACAGGTTTGGAAGGAATGGAAGCCATCACCACTCCAGCTTCCGTCGGACATTCCCACCCCGTAGGCATTGGTAGTAAAAGGCTGAGTGGGACAGCCATTTCGGAAGGAGGGGCATGTCATGTATGTCTACATGTAATATTCTTTGTTTACATGTTCTCTTTGTTTACATGTATGTTTATTTGCTTATCGCTTCTCATTCCACTCCGGTACCCTTGCATCTTATTCTGCCTGGTAATCGTACCTCATATGTTTTCCATGTTGTCCACATTTCATAAAGAAGATTGGATATCAAAGTTGTAGTTATGGGCAATTGGTATTTCAATCAATATCTGGTGGACTGTCAGGCGTCAGCAACGCCACTATTGATTGGGTCGGGTGCCTCGGAAGAGCCGCGAGCGTGGGAAAGGCCGCTCCGGGCCAATCACAGGCTATCGCGCCCGATGGGCGGGGCGAGGGGGTATATAAACGTGAGGAAGCGCAGTCGGAGCGTTCATTTACCGAGTGTCTTGGAACGGAGCGGTTGGCTCCCTTGGGTTCCACAGTCTAGAAGACTGAGACAGAGGGTTCAGAAGTAGATTCCCTGGCCCTGGGCATACGAGCGGTTCGCTCACTATCGATTCAACTCAAGGTACTGTCGTAGTACGACCAAGGCATCCCTCTCCCCTCTCATCGGGGGTATTCTCGTGATATCGATTGGGTTCAATCGCCGCGTCTCCGACGAGCACCCCGACCCTTCGGTCGAAGTCGTATCGTATCCTATCCTAATTGGTACTAATAAAAGAGTTAGTAAACCACGTGTGCTCAGTCGTTCTACCGGTTCAAAGCCGTGAATATCTGGTCATTGTCGCACATATTGATTTGTATTTGAGATTCGAAACTATAAATAATGTCAGCCACTAGCCGCGGCACACGAGAGCCCAAAGGATCCGATCTCAGTCGGATGACAGAGGACTCCCTTGCGCCGTCCAGGCCTGACATGGGGGCCAAGCCATCTCAAAACATCAATATTGCAGATATGGCTGACGAGCCACAAGTGGTGCCGATGGATACGGCTCAAGAGGGAATGCATGCCGATCAAGAGGTTAGCCACTGGAACAAGATTCTTACTGAGCTTCCCCAAATTGTGGATAAGGAGCTTAGCGCTAACCTGAGGAATATTGCCGAACGTAAAAGGCAAAACATTTCTGACTGCGGTTCGCAGCGCAACGCACGAGGCTATTGCGGCGGTGGAGTCAACGTTCGAAAATGCCATAGTGGCGAATGTACTGGCGGAGACTATGGGGATTCCCCTACGCCAGCTGGAACGTGATTTGCCGTTTCTTATGCAAGAGGCCGCAGCAATGGCTCGCGTGACGGAAGCGCTCGGTTGTTCTAGCGCTAAGGTTCTACCACTAATTGAGCTGAAGGATAAAGAGAATCAATGGCTCCGATCTCAACTGCTTTCATTGCAGGAAAATCAAGCCGTCGCACCTTCACCGAAGAGCAGAGAAGCCTTTGCTGATAAAGGTAAACCTTTCGCAGAAGACGTTTCACAGTTGCGGATTGCAACTCCATGCGGATCATGTGCCTCGTTTCAGACTCGCAGCGTAGCCAGTCCGAAAGATGGGCATATTCTGAGCCCCCCACGGACATCGAGCGAGAGATCCATCAGATCTTGTCAATCACGTTGCCGTTGCCGACAAGGTGAGTTGTCGAGCAGTTCAGTAAGCAGTAGCCAACTAGAAAGGTGCAGACAAAATTC